GTGTGTGGGTGTGTGTGTGTGTGTGTGTGTGTGTGTGTGTGTGTGTGTGTGTGTGTGTGTTTGTGTGTGTTTTGTACAGGGTGTGTGAGCTGGAGGAGCTGGGTGAGCTCTCTCTGTGTTGGGAAAACCTCAGGAGGCAGATCATCACTCAGTATCAGACCATCATCCTGACGTACCAGGAGACCATAAGTGACCTACATGAATACAAAGGTTAGAAACAAACACATCACTGCAGGCTCTTCACATTAACACGGTGAAATCAACTTCAAAATGTGGATGAATTAAAGCCATGGCATTCATTGTTTTAGAAAGTAATCATCAAATCGAATGTAAACGACTGATTAACCTTTGAAGTCAATCCAGTTAAAGATGGCTGCCACAGATAACTGACTTTAGCAAACACAAAAATGGCCTAACTAAGTCTAGATATTGAGATAAATGTGGTGTGGTAGAGACTGAGATGTTAACACATCTAAGAATGAAAATAACCTTATTTTCAAGGTTTGCCCAAACTTATTACACCATATGATGATCGTAGTAAAAAATGCTGGGATTTTTTTTTCAAGAAATGCTGCGTTTTTTTTTCTCTTCTGTATTCTCTCAGGACCTTCATTCAAGTCCAGCACCTTGAAAGCTGAGCGAAAGTTGGAATTCATTCCCACCAACCTGCATATCCAGAGGATGAGGGTACAAGGAGAGACTGGTTATGGTCCGTATTTGTTTGACAGATTCTGCTTCTCTGGGCCTGTTACTCGATGTCCTCCCTGATCACTTTGTTCTCCCTTCAGACTGGACGTATGATGTTGTGACCATTGGAGCTCCAGCTGCACATCACCAAGGCTTCAAAGGCTGCGGCCTCCGAAAACTTCTGCACAAACTGGAAGAAGCCAGGAAACAGTGAGTGATTAAAAACAAAGCCTACTGAGGCTTTGAATTACAAAACTTATTGCAGTTTTGGTTAATTCTCATTTTCTTTCCCCTTTTGTTAAATCAGCACTTATGAGGAGGAGAGGTAAAACAGGTTGAAGTTACCTGTAAGGTGTTTCTGTAATGCTTTTAACACTACTTGTTATTTACTTTACTTCTATACATTTTTTTGCTCAAGCTCTGCCGGATCAGGTCCTAAAGGAATGAACTACCAGCCACAAGATGTCGTTAAAGCGAAGGAGCTGATCGCTCAAATCAACACCCTGAAGACACAAGTGTGTTACTACGCAGAGCGCCTGTCCCGAGCTGCCAAGGAGCGCTCTGCCAACTCTCTGGAGAGGACTCTGGCCATCCTAACAGAGAAGGTAAACCAGAGAAACTAGAGTTATCAAGAGGAAGAAAAAAAATAAAACACTCAATCAGGATCTCTTTAACCAGGGGTTCTCAAACTTCATATTCAGAGCTTAAAGAGTAACTTACCCCAAAATTAACTTTTTTTAGCTGATAAACTGTCTAGAATGTGTCTAAAATGTTATATAGTACTGTTTCTGTGCTA